CAAGGTCATAGTAGTAATCTTGCCTTATTTTCAGCCCTGACCCTGATAGTTAGCTTTGCGTTCAGTCCTAGACTTAAAAAGTTCTTGGAACTGTTTTTGAACCCCCAGCCATTGTCTGTACTTAGAATTGAACAGTTGGAAGGTGGGAACTCAGAAGTATCATGTAATCTACTTCAGGTAAAGTGTCCTGACAGCTGGCATCCTGACAGCTGGCATAGAGAGAGTTTGATGGCTATCAGTCAGTGCCCCATGGTGAAGGGGATGGTGCTGTGCTCTTGTTAGGGTGCAGGAGTCTGTGGGGTATGGAGGGTGTGGCACTGTGGGGCAAAGCGCAGGACCGGGGAGAGAAGTGTGTATGTCATTAAGTTTCAGCCATCTCGTTGAGTGTCTCTCTGCCAGGCCTTATTTCTGGAGCGAGTATGCAGCAGTGATCAAAAGGGACAAATGTCTCTGCCTTCAAGAAGCTTACTGGGTGCTTACTACGAGGGCTAGGCATTGCTGAAAGCACTTGACATACAGTAACTCATTTAATGCTCCCAGTAACCCTGTGAAGTATGTATTGTCATGATTCCTGCGTATGTCGGTGAGTAAACCGAGGCACAGAGGTTCGGTAACTCGCCTAGAGTCACGTAGCTAGGAAACGACAGCTGGGGGATTGAGGAGGCGGGTGGACAAAGCATGCACGCAGGAGCGTCTGCTCTGAGACATTGTGATGTTGGATGGAGGATGAACAATCACGAGTGTCACTGAGCCGCTTAGTATTTACCGAGAACTGCTGTGTGACAAGCATTAAGGTAGAGCGTCAGGCCCATAACACGGACTCTTGCCCTTGAGTTTGCAGACTGGCGGGAGTGGAGAGACAGGAAGATGCACGGTTCTCATCCTGTGTGCTGTGTGCCGTGGTTGGGTGTGTGCCCACGTTATAGGGATGAGACTGGTTTACAGACTACTCTACAGTGATGGGGATCATGGAAGGATTTTAAATAGAGAAATGGCTGTACTCTAGGAGGTCCTGGTGCACTGAGGCAGTCCTGGTTTTTCCTGGTTATCCTAGCATCTATATTAATGATGTCCTTTTCTTTCCCAAAGTGTCCCAGTCTGCACGGTAAATTATGTGTTCACATCATACGACTTTAGGCATTTTCAGGCCTGAAGTTCCCCCTTCCTAAACACTGACTAGCTCCGTACTTGCTCTCCTAGTCGTGGAACCTGCAAACATTTTACTTTTAAAAAAAAAAAAAAAAAAAAAGCCCTTTCATCCCACAGCTGAGTCAGTTCCCGATACATAATAACTGGTCAAAAACGGTAACATTATTAATTTCTGCCAAGAAAGAAATTTAGCAGCTTACATTTAAATTTGGTGCTCTGCTGATCCTGAGATAGCAATTTTTCATCAGGTTGGGAATCCCAGAAACCTAGCACTTGTGTCGTTAGAGCCTCTTTGAAAAAGGAATCTCTAGGGTTTGAGACGGTCTCCAAATCAAAGGAGCTTGCGGAGGGGGAGTAGGGAGAGCTGCTCTTCCAAAGCGGGAGCTGCCTTCCTTGAGCCAGTGCGTTTCTTGACTAGCTGTGGCTGCTTAAGGCTCAAGTCCAGGCCTCACTCCACGTCCAGGCACCTGTTGTTCTGCCCTTCACTCTTCTAGCCGGTCAGCGGGCTCCTGCTGAGGGAGGGCAGTTTAGCCAAAGGCCTGGTGGGGGGAGAGCAGGGGTCCTAACTAGCTGCCTTACCAGCAGTGAGGTCACCCTCCTAAACTCCATTCCTTAGTACTTGTCTCCAAGAAATTAGATGACTGGGGCCAGATGTATTTGAAGGCCGACTGCAAACATCATCATATCTTGAATGCTTTCTCCTCTATACCCGCGGGCATTGTGGGGAAACAGACCCTGGTTTGAGTGACCCACAGTGATGCCGCTTCCTCCTGTTAGCAGGCTCCAGGAGGTCGCGAGTCTTCAGTCACATGTGTGACCGCGCTGACTGGACAGTGTTCCAGCGTTTGTCTGTGTGCGGTCCTGCAGTCAAGACCAGGATAGAGTACCTCTCCTCTTGCTGCTAAATAATTCACTTGATGAGAGAGATAAAGACATTTGAAAAAAGGAAAGGCAGAGAGAGCGGAGTCTGTAAGACTGTGATTACAGTTAATAAACCTTGGATCTCTCCAGCTTCTGAGGAAGCTAATCTTTTTTTCCTCCTGCTCCCCTTTTTTGGTTTGTGTTTCTCGAGCATTTAATTAAAGTCAAGGAGGGGGATGCATCCGTAAAAATCACTTAGAACCAGCTCCACAGGGGGCTGCTTCCGTGTTGCCTGTAATAATCTGAGAGCCGTGCGTCGGGCTTGGCCCAGTGCTTCGCAGTGGCCGTAGCAGCAGAAGCTGTCTCCTAGCTGCACTGCTCTAGCACCCTGGCCCTCAGCCCTGCTCTCCAGTCCCGAGACGGGCGGCGCGTGCTCCCTGTGGGCAGCACTCTTCGCCCGAGGACACGCTCTGTGTGATCCGGAGGCTCTGGGCCGCACTGGGAGGGCAGCGCGTCTGACGAGGCCCCTTGAGGGATCTCCCCTGGAGAGGGTGGGCTGCAGTCCTGAGAGCTCTCGTTCAGTGAGAGGTTAGGGTGATCCTGGCTGCAGGAAGTGTCTTGTGATTCCACCACATTTGGAGCAGTTACTCATAAATGGAATTTAGTTTTGCCGCGCACTGAGGAAATGGACTGCTCCAGGTTCTAAATCATGCCTCCTTCTGACAACTTGTTTCGTTCCCAGTTGAAGATAAATTCTTGTTCCGCTCTCTTCTCCTTAGGAGTCTTCCTGGAGCAAAGGGTTTCCACACAGAATCTAGTCCTTAATTGACCCTCCTTTCAGTGCTGTCTTCTCCAGGGAAGCCCATTGAATAGGGTGCGGGAAAGAGGTCTCTCGTGTCATTAAATATCAGAACCACGCAGGCACGTTACTCTGATCATCTTTCTGGTTCAGGTGGGGACGCTTCGTCTCCATTCTGGTCCTTTGTGCTGAGGGATTCACCCCTTATGTAACCCATAATATAAAACTTAGGTGTTGCTTATAAAACCTGGAACCTCGGGCTGAATGACTTTCTCAGTCTCTTGCCTAGGTCCTGAGTTAGCAGACGTGACTGTGGAGAGACTGCCAGAATCACCCAGCACTGCGTACGCCGCTGCCTCAGCTCTGCAGCCTTAGTTCCTACAGGTCACACGGTGGGCAGGCTTGCGTGTCTGATGGGAAGAGCACCGCCAGTGTACCTAAATGCCCTCACCTCCCAGGGGGCTGGTCAAGCTGTGCGTGGCCGTCATGTTTGGTCTCTGTGCTCTTTCTCTACCACAGGACATTAAGTGGTACTTACTTATTCAGCTACACTGACATTGCCTTTGACCTCAGACATTCATGTTTTCTCTCTCACCTTAGCCCTCTTCCTCACTTGGATGAAGTTCTAATTTACATGCCATAAAGTTCACCCATTTTAACTGTACAAGTCAGGGAGTTTAAGTCTGTTAGCAGAGTTGTACAAGCATGACCATAATCCAGTTTGAGAGCACTTCCATCACACATGAAGGTCCCCTGCCCCAGCCCCTGGCAGCCACTTAGCTACTTTCTGTCTCTGTAGATTTGCCTTTTCTGTACCTTTCATGTCCGTGGAGTCATGCAGTCTGTGGTCTTTTGGGTATGGTTTCTGTCCTTGAGCGTTACATTTTCAGGGTTCATCTGTGCTGTGGCGTGTATCAGTGGTCCATTCCTTCTGGTGGCTGAGTAATCCTCCGTCGTGTGGGTGTGCCACATTTTGTTTGTCCTTTCACCAGTTAATGCTGATTTTGAATGATGCTGATGTGCACATTCATGTACAGATCTTGGTGGAGACCTCCAGTTTCATTTCTCCTGGGTGGGTTCCTAGGAGTGAAATTGCTGGGTTGTATGGGGAGTTTATGTTTAACTTTCTAAGAACTTGCCGAACTGTTTTCTGGAGTGGCTTGCACCATTTTATATTCCCACCAACAGTACACGAGGTTCTAGTTTCTCCCTAGCCGCACTGATGGTTTTTTTTTTTCCTTTAATAGCCATCTCAGTGGGTATAAAGTGGTATCTTATGGTTTTAGCTTGCACTTCCCTGATGCCTAATGATGTGGAGTATCTGTTCCTGTGCTTTTTGGTTATTCCTCTATTTTCTTTGGTGAAATGTCTATTCAGATCTTTTCTCCATTTTTAAATTAAGTTGTTGGTGTACTTATTATTGAGTTGTAAGTGTTCTTTATATATTTTAGGTACAAGCCCTTTATCAGAAATAGGATTTTCAAATAATCGTTTCATATCTTTTTAAGCACCCCTTTTAGAAAACCCCCATGGCTCACTTCAGGCCTGAGAATGAGGGAGATCCAGAGTGGTCTTCTGCCTCATCTCCCCCATCTTTTTTGGTGAGACAAAACCCATTCTGCACGTATCTAGGGTTCTCTCTAAGGTAGATTCTCTTCTCTTCTTCTCTGCATTAAGCCAAACCTCAGTTTTCCCTCTATATTTCTACCCTACTTTTTCTTTTTTAGGAGATTATTATTATTATTTTTCTTTTTAAGAATTACAAAGACTGTCCTTGGTATGGGCTTTATTTTGGGCTCTGAGCAAATCTGTTTTGAAAAGAACCCTTGCGTTTAGGCCACTACCATTTTCTGAGATCAGTTAAGCTCCTTTACACCGTTACTTCTTAGCCCTGGTTGGGCTCCCGTGCATCTTTTTTCTGCCCATATGCCCTGCATTGAGTTTCTACCATTATTGTGTTTCTTGGGGTTTTCCCCTCACTTCTGGTTGTGGAGCGGAAGTCATTACTGACAGCCGTCTCCTTCATTGCTGCTCCTGTGGAAGTCCCCAGATGATTCTGTGTTTATGGGTGTTACTGTTGATTATTACAGGGCAGCTAATAGTAATAAAAATACAGTTTTAGGGAACAGTGCAAGCTGTAGAAATTTTACCAAGTTTTCATAGTAATTTCTTCTGGTTATATTTCTTCAAGCTCTTCTTCGAGGTTGAAAGGCACTTCCCTCGGTGCTGTGAAAAGTCTCAGGTGGGTCACTTTGCATCCTGAGTTTTTACCTTCAGGCTTAACGCTCCCCAGCCTGGATCGTCCATGCACCAAAACCAGTTGAACCGTATTTGCGAATTTGCCGACTTGCTGAAATGCGTCTGTAACCCTGATGTCAGTATCTGTCATTGACGCACATGTGCGGGTGCCGGCGGGGGCGGGGTGGTGGTGGTGGGAGCCGCTCTGTGGGCGTGACCCCAGCTGGCCTGGGTCGAGGGACGGTTCTGCTCCTGGTTTCAGCGTCTCAGAGCGGCGGCCAGAGGATCGAGTCACAGTGCGGTGCGAGCTGCTTGGGTGCTGGGCCCCTTTCTCCTGAAGCTCGCTTCTTGTGCAAAATAGAGAAAATAGACTCCACCAGGGTGAGTTTTTAGGACCGAACGTTATTATCTCTGTGAGGTACGTATGTATGTGTATGTGTGCGTATTTCCCTAGTAGCCGTGGTGTAGCATTTGCTTCGTAAGTATTTTCTGGACTTTACAGAACATAAACGACCACAGACACCGTGTGCTGACTGTGTACTCCAGAACACTCCTCACCCTCTCTGAATTTGTGTCTCTGTGTGAAATGACTTGTGAATCTCCGTCTCCCGGCGACTCCCTCCGGAGCTGACGCCCACGCCGTGTCTCTCCCTGGCAGTCTCCTCTAGGCTGAGCTGGGTGCCGGACTGAGCACCCGCGTCAGAGGCTCACCTGTGTCGCAGGGCTGCTCCTGGAAGCTGCCTTCATGTCGTCTGTGCGGGAGCTCCTGCAGCCTCAGCCCGTCCAGCCTCCCTCACCTTTGGTGCAAAGAATCTTCCCCCGGATTCTGCTGCTCTTTGCGTTGCCTTTACATACACTTCCTCTGTCCTTTTGTGGAAGCTGCTTTGGCTTCAGCCTATGGTGAAGGGTGGCTCTTCCTTCTGTCTTCAGGTCACCTCCCCAGGCAGAGGATTCCCAGGTTTCCAGCACCAGGTCTGTCTGCTGAGCTCTGGACACTCCGCATCCTCCAAGCTGGCCAACAAGCTGGATACTTGATTATGTGGTGCTTACTGCACGCCTCTTCTTCAGTGTGCACGAGATTCCCAAGTTCAGCCTGTCTCCAGCTCAAGTTGCCCTTCCTTACCCTCGCCCACACAAGACAGAGCAGCTCAAGTGGCTTATACCTCCTGTGTTTGCATTTTGGTGAAAGGTACTTTTTCCTACAAAAATTACTCAAGGCAGGGCCTGAACAGCAGTCTCTCTTCTCTGTCCTTAACTTTTATCTTGCGGGATAGGCAGTCTGTTCACAGGGTTAGAAACCTGAAAGAACCGCCAGGCCCCTCACCTGTCTCCTCGCTTTGTCTCATCTTCCCACCTGAAGAGCAGTCAGCGCATGGAGCCCTGGGGACACCTCCGCTTCGGCACAGACTCGCAGGATGCTTAGAGGGTGGCAGTTGACTTGAAAGCAGAAGACCTTTCCTAGGTACATAAAGGAAAGTCTGTATTGCATTTTAGAAGATTTCTAGCAAACAGCTAAAATTAGTAAGAAATTTATTTTCAATGACATACACTTTTCTGTAAGATTTACTTCTGTACGATGCCTCATTCTGTGATAAAATAGATTTGACACATGAAGACGTGACACATACACATTTTATGCTTTGTATGTTTATCACTTGCCTCAGTCTTCCTGTGAACCTTTTAAATTTGGGATGGTAGCTAGGTTTATGTACTTTATCATTCTCCCAAAGAGTATTTATTATACGTGCCATTGAGCCCACTGCTGAGGATACAGCAGTGCAGAAGACACATCCCACACCCTTGAAATCGTGCACGTCGCTTCTGAACTAGCAATAGAAGCGTTGGGTCAGATTTATTGGCTGTTCTTCATTTAGTTCAGGAATTTTTATTGAGTATTGATGTGACTTGGTCACTGCACTGGCCCTGGAGTGTCTTCACAGGTGAATATGCAGTACAACAAAAGGGCTGATGAAATGGCTTCCGTGGAAAGTGAGTGCGTGAACAGAGTTGGATCAAGACCTACAGCTGTTCACGTCCCTTGTAAACCATGTCCTGTTCTGTCACAGTTGCACACACTCCTCAGTTTACTGACTGCTTTGGCGTAGTGTCTGGTGTAGGCGTGTGAGAGATGGTCGTAAACTACTCTGGCCACGTTAGACTTGGGTATTATCAGCCCACTGGGTGGAAATACCTGAAGCAGCTGATGGTGACATGTGTTCTTGATATGTAGACATTTTAGACATAGTTTACTTAGGATCTTGGGGCCATGCTCCGTAACTGTTTAAACCGACACTTTCAGATTTCGTGTAAACATATTTTTAAGATTCACCTGTAGTAAAAGAAAACAGTACTTATATCCATAAGCTGAGAGAAGCCTGAGGGACTGGAACGTTCTGGTAAATTCCAAGCCTTGCTTCACGCGGCCTTTCCCAAACCTAGAGAGCAGAGAACAAGTCTCCAGTCTTAGGTATGTCCCACTAGCTAAAGAATTTTAAGCTTAACATGGCAAGATTCAGGTAAATGTTTGACAGTGTCTTTTGTTAATATGCTTTGGTAACGTGATATAATAAGGCGGAGAACCATAAGAAAATATTTGTATCGTAAGTGGAAATGCATTCGATCAGTTTCTCTTATCTGGTTATCGGTTACTTAATCTTTTGCTGATCTCATTTTTTCTTCCCTTTTCTTCATCTACCTTTGCACTATTTTGTTTCTTGGCGTTATACCCCAGGGTGTTCACGGAAAGAAAGAATTAAACCTATTCTTGTCTGCTTTTCACCTGTTACCATCTCTGAATTCTTCTAAAGTTACTTGTAAATCGTCCCAAAGATGCCTACTTTATTCAACTAGAATTAGTAATAAAATATCATTGTAACTTGTTTAAAGGTGTTTTTACATATACAGTTGGTCCTCTGTATCCACGGGTTCTGCATCTATGGATTCATCCACCGTGCATCAAGATATTGGGGGGAAAAAGTCCAGCAAGTCTCTAAACGCAGAACTTGAATTTGTCACGTGCCGGCAACTATATACATAGCATTTACGCTGTATTTCCTATACGTAGCATTTATGTATTGGGTATTACAAGTAGTCAAGATGATTAGGGGAGGATGTACAGATGTGCAGGGTGCATGCGGATACTACCATTTATATGAGGGACTTGAGTTGCACAGATTTTGGTATTTGCAGGGGGTGGTCCTGGAACCAACGGCCCCCCCCCCCTCGCCCCAATACTGAAGGGTGACTTAATTCTCACTGAGAAACTTTATGCTAATTTCATGGAAACCGAATAACTGATTCACCTACTCCCTCTTGTGGTAAATATTTAGTTTTATCCCGATGCTTTTATTTGTAGTTATTAACTCTTGATTATCATTTTAGCAACGAGAGCACAGATTTGAATAGTCCAAAGAGATTTAAAAAATCATTTAGATGGGCATGGCAATAATTAGGAGGGTGTAGCTAGGGTGCTCAACCCAAGCTGCCTTGTTAGGGTCACCTGCAGAGCCTGGGCCTCACCCTGAGAGATTCCCTCCCCCTGTTTACAGTTTAAATCAAATTAAATTTAATCGACTTTGAAATTTGATTTTAAAATTCACAGGTTATTCTAACATGCAGTCAGGGTAGAGAACCACCTATAAGCTGCAGTTTTGCTTCTACAGTTAACCAGTTCTGTATTCAAGGGGAGAGCATGTTATAATTTCTAATGATTTGTACCCATCTTGTACTTTATGGTGTGTGAAAGACTTTTACATAATTTACATGATTTTCCCACAGACCCATTCCATACAGTAGGAAAGACCTCACATGGTAAGTGACTGGTCTGATGATCCAGCTGTAGCAGGAGCCAGGATTGGAAACGAAGGCACTGGCCTTAATCCACCCGGTTTCTCAGCACCCTGCAGTGCTTCGGTCTCACACGGACTGCGACTTGTTCATCTTCAGAGCTCCTCTGGTTACGAGCTGTGCACTGTGAGGTGCTTTTTGCTTGTGGCTGTTCCACGGATTAGCTCTCCGCACAGCACGGAGGACACCGGGCATCCCGGGCGCTGTGCAGCTCTCAGGTGCCCGGGCCTGCACACCACGCTCAGTGCTTCAGAGGGGGTGTGGGGTGCTGGGCGTCACACAGGGCCAGCAGCCATGTAGGTAAGAAGTGGAGGTGTTGATAGACACTTGATACCTAGACCTAATAATCAGCGACCTTTATGTATAAGCTCTCATTATCGACTAACTGGAAGATGATAAATAAGCTGGTTTAGGTCCAAATACTACAAAAGAAAAACAGTCTTTAGATTTTTTTGCTATATAGGAATTTTGTTATATTATTGCTCTTAATAAATGGACTTTTGCCAGCCTTAAAAATAATTTCTAATATAGGATACCTATGTTTTTCTAATACCTGTATTTGTCTTAATAAACTTTGACTTCTGTGTAAGTTTCTGTTTTCTCTTTAGTATTTAGCAATTAAAGATAGTGGTCAACTGTCAGTACTTTGATTTTTTAAGAATTTATATGACAAAAGTTAAGCTTTTACTATTTCATAGAAAAATCTCTTCACATTGGCACATACAAAATAACACTGGCATGTATTCAGCACAGTCAGATTAACATTTCATCTGTTAGATGGGGATAGGGAGTCTTAAGCTCTCATCTTTTGGATGCCATTTCAGTTTTCTCCAGCAACAGTTTATACCTTTCTATTAGAGTTATTGTACATTACTTATTTATTTGAAAATCTTGTACTTTTTTTTTTTAAATCTCTTTGACTAAGCTCATTATTTTTTGATCGAAAAAGTTATACATGCATGTGTTAAGACACACTTCAGACAATAGAGTGTAATGGTGAGAATGCCTCCTTCCCACCCCAGGCGTCTTAGTCCCCTTCCCTAGAAGCAGCTGTGTATGCTTTTTTAGTTTTCTGTGTTTTATTCTTCCGTTCTATTTAATACAGGTGTCAAATGAGTTGTAATAAAGAGCATCGCGCTGCAATTTTATCGTATGCTTGATGTGTTCTAGTTGTATATCACATTCTAAATAAATGAGATAACTGGTGACATTGCCATTTAAGTTCTGCCTTCTATTAATGCATTCTTTTCAATTTATTTTTTTCAACATGTTAATTACTGTTCAGTTTATTAGTGATAATTAAAGATATATCTCCATGATATTTTAAAATGAAGCAATTCCACTTGTTAAAAAATCATGAATGGTGTTTGTACTAGAAATTAATGATAGTATATCGTACATGTGTGTTTATGATACTATCAAATCCATTGTATGTTAATGAAATTGTCTCTATTTTGTGTCAAGGTGATGTGAAAAACAACGTTAAGAAATTTTCTTAACAAACTTTAAACCTTATTTCCAAAAGGCGCCACTTTGCTTTTAGATATTGTATAAGCAGAAAGCAAGAAAAGGAAAATGAGACCAGTGGTGTCTTAAGTGACAAACAGCCTACGTAGTCCCTTTTGACTTAGAGCTCTTAAGTTCAGACGCCCTCTGTTACTAAGGCAGTCTGAAATATTGAGCAGAAGCCTTGATTTCTACATTCTCTACTTGCCGCCTTTATTATAGTGTTTATCCGTTCGGTCCTATTGGAAGCTTCAGCCCCAGCAATAGTGACCTTTTTTTATTGACCTCTCATCCATATAGCCCTCATTTTGTTTTCCAGATGGTTGATGAGTATAACTAGATTCTTAAAATGAAAAAAGTCTCCGTTATGTTTTACGTTCAGTGGATTACCTTAAAAGGGTAGAAGGAAAATTAGATTCATTTCCTAGAGCAATATTTTCCTTACTATATATATAATGTTAAGTAACTGTAGAGTAATTTGAGTTTTTTTAAATGAGGAAAACTTTACTCAGTGTTTCCTAGCCTTTTTTGTTTCCTTACGGAAATTCAAGTTTTCAGAATAGTCGGATTCAATACTAAATTAAAAAGTGACGTTACTACGTGTACTTCTCTAAGTTTATTTTTTTGGTGCCATTTTCGTTTATTTTTTGAAAAAGGAAATTCTAGTTTTTGGCAATTTGTCTTTGGTAATATTAAGGAATTACAAGAGATCTTAAAAGATATTGGATGGGTGTCCCAGTTAGCAGATGAAGACTAATGGTTTGACAGTAAGGAAACAAAAAATGAGAAGCAAAACATTTAAGATTTCATTGATCAGAATAACTTATTTAAAAAAGTATAAAGCATTTCAAAGGAAGGTAATGCTATAAGTGTTGTGGTCTGATGGACCTTTTTATCTAATCTTTTTTTTAATCTGAATACATTTTCCAAATAGAAGCAGTTTTTTTTAAAATTAATCAAATGCAATAGAAATATAGTAGGTTTATCTGCTTTTGACCTGAAGATAGTATCTGAACATTTTGGTTTAATTTTTATAGTTAGGTAATTCCTAGATTACAAACCGGTATTTTCATGTGCCCCCCTGTACATTCAAAAATGTTAATTGAGGACTGATTTTTTTGTTTTTTAAAGTTCTTAGAGGTCGGTAGAACTCCAGTGTATGTTGTATTTTTAATGGCATTCAGAAGGGGGCACATCCAGTTAAGTAGTTCCTAAGATACATACCAGATACAGAAAATAACACACACACACACTTTTTCCTGAGAGACCAATCTCAAAGTAAGACAGGAATATAACAAGAATGTAGAATGGAAAACCTGATTGGCTCAGTCTCAGAAGTTTGGGACGAATGAGATGACTAGCTCAGAACAGTGTGTTACTGTCGTGGGGTCGTGGGGCAGGCACAAGGCACAGTAGCCTTAGGAAATGGGAATCCTGTTGGTCACATTCTCGGCCAGTAGCAGGGTGGGGGAAGGAGCAGTCCCTAGATCGTTGCCCTGTACCTCGTTCCTGGGCTGTCACTCATCCTTGGCTGTGTGCAAAAAGAAATGCCAAGTAAGCGGTGTAAAGTGGGCGGGAACAGGAGAGTCAAACCAGCTCCGCCTGGCGCCACACTCCCCTGGACAGTGGGAGCTCCAGAGGCAGAGGGTGTGGTGTCAGCCCTGGGGGAAAGTAGCATTCACTGGGTCGGGGGGTGCTGTGCGAGGCTTCTGTCATACCTGTGTCAGCCCGTGGATGCAGACATTTGAGAATTACCAAATTCTTAACAAATGGTAAAGGAGAAGATAATGGTAATTAACTTAAACTTCATATAGAAATATGATTATCTCTTTGGCAGTATTGTCCTGACAGATAAGCTACACCCTGGAGAGAACTCTTTGTGACTTATTTTTTTTTAAAGCGGTGTAAGTAGGTTTCCATATAGCTTTTGACTCTGTGGCCAGCAGAGACATATTTCAAGCCCTCTTTAAATGCTCCTGTGGTAGGTAAACGAGCAGAAATTAAACGAGCAGAAATTAAACGAGCTCTGTAAAGACATTCTTAACACTTCTTATAAATGCTGCTGCTACAATTGCAGGTCCTTTTGGAATAAATCATGGGATTGAGCTTCATTCAGATGTGGTGGAGTATGCCAAGGAAAAGCTGGAGAGCTTCATCAAAAATAGTGATAGCTTTGATAAGTAAGTATTCACACCTATAGTTCTGCTTCGAAAGCACTTGATAAGTAGACGCGTTGACATGTCTGTTCCTCACTGCTGTTAGTTTATTGATCCTGAGTTGTCAGTTGAGTGCAGCGACAATCAGTGTGGTATAAAATGAGACAAAAAATTAAGTTAGAAAACTGCTGTGATTTTTATTCTGTGTACGTATATAGTGAATTACAAATAAATAACTTCTATGTTTTAATTATATGCTACTGTCACTTTATTAGTAGGGTAATGTCGCATTCATTAAACATCATACAAGTACCTTTCCTGAAGATAGAATGTAAAGATGTGCTTGGCATTAGAATACTTTTTGGGAACTGTGTTCACACCTTTGGGATAGTAATTTAATAGTCTGCCCACTTTGTTTGTAGCATAAGAGTGATACCTGTTAGAATATGGAGGACTTTCTTAAAAACATGAAGTTACTTAGTAATATAGCCAGAGGAAATTATCATCGAAGTATATTAATATATCCTGTGAGGGCTGTGTTTGAGAAATTTGCTTATAGAACCATTGTTTTGAACTCCTACTTTCCCTTAGAAGAAATACTGCACAGGCGTTGGCCCTTGCGTGGGCAAGGAAGTCTGTTTGCTGTGTAATGTCCCTAAAGTTCAGCGGTGGTAGTACTGTGGGGCAAAGGCTGCTTCTGCTGAAGTCCGTGAACTCTTGTGAAACTGGAAAATTTGGAGGGCGTTTATCTCTCTCAACTAGTCATATTTTCAAAGAGAGAAAGGCCTAAAACGGATAGGAATCAAGCTTAGAACCTAGTCCCTTTACTGTATAGCAGAGCTTTGGTCCAGGGTTCCAACCCAGCTTGTTGGGAGTGGGCCTCACTCAGCTCTGGCCTGGCCTGGCCTGGCCTTGCTTGGAGGTGGGGACCTGGGCTGGGGGTGGGTTCCGAGCTGAGGGCTGTTCCTAGGGTTCAGGCCTGGGGGTCAGCGCTAAGAAGGAAGCAGGAGGGCCTTTGAGGGTCTCCTGGAGCGTCTTCCCCTCTCTCCTCCCTTCTCTGCCTCTCCTCCCCTTCCGTCCCTGGCCCTTTTCTTTCCGTCCCCTTTGCCATGGCCAGTTTGTATGTGTCCCCTGGCAAGTGGCACTTGGTGGGTTGAAGAACAGAAAACCGAGGTGCTGCAGAGTCCGCAGTGCAGGAGGGAGTGTGACTGGGTGTTACCGGCCTCAGGCGGCAGCTGGGAGCTGTGCTCGGCCTGGCTTTGGCTTTGTTCTGTCCTCAAGCCAGTGGATCTGAGCAAGTCCCTGAATTTTCTGCAGCAGTTTGCTGAACACAGTTCTTTATCTTATTTATAAAGAGTTAACATTTAATTCATGTTTTTGAATCGTTTTTCAAATGCTTACCGTGTGGGATCGTATTCTGTTTCCAAGAGTAACATACTGTTTGACAGAAATAAAATAGTTTTGAGTTCAAGTTATTTGATAAGAAATTGAGTTTCAATGTTAGTATCCTTTTGTGTCTTCATCATTTCCGTCTGTCTTATAATTAGTGGTATGGTAAGTGCTTAAGATATGGGCATGGCTAGTTTTTATATTGGTTATTAGAACTATGGAACTTTGTTGAATTTATTGAATTTCTATTGTTCTAAGTATTCGTTTTGATGTTGAAACTTAACATACACATAAGACCTTTTGAATACAAGTAAACTTGGAAAATATGAAAGTAATATTACTAAAAGCAAATGTTGAAGGTCTATCTTAAGAACTGCTATATATTAGATAATATATTTCAGGTGTTAACACATAAAGGCACAGATAATTCACTTTTGGGTCATTAATCAGGCAGAACAAACTCAAGGAAGAACTTTGAATCATCGAAGTACCTCTTTACAATATCTGTGGAGTCAAGTTTCTTGCTGACAAGTGGGCATGGTCCTGGCAAACAGTAAAATATGTCATTCTTTAAAGTATTTCTGTGTTGATGTAATTTAAATATTAAGTAATCTATAACACAGATAATTTTGAAGGTTTTATATATTTAAGTGTCTCAATTAAAATTTTTTTTTCTAAAATTGTTTTCATGTAATCGTAAGATGATCAAATGTCCTTGGCTTGTATTTCTTGAGTGTTGTTGTTACCGTGTTATACAGGTTTGTTATCCATAAAATGGTGAATCATCAAATATGGTGATATGACTGATCTAAATGTTTCTTTATAATTTTTAATGGTTTTGTTACTTTAGTTAATCAGACTTTATGATATGGTTGTTTCTGAAGTGTTACAACTTTTAAAACAGATTCTTATATTAATAAACTATTCTGAAAAAAAAAGACAGTTCTGGAAATGTTATCTATTCTGGTTTTCAAGTCGCTCCTGAACTAGTGGTTACGTACTTCAGATTATAAAGGTATCTTGCACATACAAGGGGTAGTAGGTACTGGGAAATGCTTCGTTTTGCACAAAGTCGTGAGTTGGGTGGAAGTTAAGTAATCAAAGTTGAGTCATTTAATGGGCTCCTTTAACATCATTTGGTTTTGGTGATAGAAATGATGAAGATGTAGTAGTTTTCTTCCTATCTTACTTGTGTTTTGATGATTTCTTTGATTTTTCTTGGCGTTTGTTGATAATATTCCTAGTTATTTTCAATTTTTAAATTTGAAAACCTTGCTTTGGAAAGTGATGTTTAAAATTCCGTTCCTAAGCAATTTTATTACATTTAATTGTGTACGGGTCATCAAAATACGTTTTAATTAATAAAATGTAAAGTAACTCAGGAAAACAAATTGCTATTTATGTATGCCTTAGTACTTAGTATTGTTCCTTAGTACCAGGCTGTCCTTGATTGTGTATAACACGAAGACAGTAGAAAGCTAAAACCTAATACTTTTCCAATCTTATTTATCCTGTTGGTTTGGATCTTTTTTATCAGTTCCTTTTTCGAAAGTATTGTCATGTCACTTATGATTTAAACTGTATCTTTAAAGTTTTCTTATGTATATCTATTGGAGATCATAGTGAACTCCCAAACATAGTAGGCGGGGAAAGATTCAGTAAACTACTCAACATTAGATTATGTAATGTAAGATACATATTTAAAAAACAATATACAGATGTGTGCTTCTGTGTGTGCTTTACAAAGCAAGCTTGGTTCCTGAGTCTTGAAAGTCCTATTTCTTCTTTCAGAAAAAAGATCCTTAGTATAATGTATATACTTTTAAACTTTCTTTCTATGTCTTGGTTCTGTATCAGCAAATGAAATAATTTGGAGAGGCTACCCTGAATTTACTATACTTGGAGATAGGAGGGAAGGGGGAGTTCTCTTGTGTGGTTTATTATTCCTTTGCTGTGCCTGTGGTATACCCACATGTACCGAAATTCCCTAATGAACTGACATTTGATTTCAAAGGTTCTCTAAAACACCGGCAAGCTTTTTCAGATGAAGGACCAGATAGTGGATGTATCTGGCTTCCTGGGCCAAGCGGGCTCTGTTGCAGCTGCTCAGCTGTGCCACTGCAGTGCAGAGGCCTCCTGGGACACCCTGTGGAGGGGTGGGCGAGGAGTTCTGGTACCCCTTCATTGACAGAAACAAGTGCGGGCTGCATTTGGCCTCTTGTCCGTGGTCTGCCGACTCCTGTTCTGCCCGTCACACACACGCTCCGTGACGTTTTTATCTTAGCCCAGTGGCTTTCGTGAGCGAAGGAGAAGTTTGGGGAAGGTGAGGTTATCTGAATCAGTGTTTGTGCAGGTAGAGTAAGCAAAATAATCTCTCCAGCTGTGTTTACTTGGAAGAGTAAGTCAGTTAAAGGAGCGTGAATTATAAACCTTTACCCTGTAAGTGCTTTGCAAGTAAGTGGTAATTGGTGTAGCATTTATTTACGGCTTCATTGATGTGTTTGTATGACTTGGCTCCCTAGAGGGCATGCTTTGGGGTGTGCCATTCCCTGTGAGACAATAGGTCCTGTCTCCTCTCCCCTCCAAGGAAGCTGTACCTGATTTTGGAAATACTCTACTGTCATTAGCCACATGAGTGCAGCGTAGCCTAATTGAAGATTTTCATTCTCTTTGAATGGGGGACTGTTGTTTCTACATAGTTTGTTGTAGAAATGAGTCATGAAGACAGTAATGAGATGATAAAAATAACAGCAGGTAATGTGTATTATCTGTTCCTTAAGTACCAAGTACCATTCTAAGTGCTGTACCCACAGTCCTAGAGGCAATATTGATGTCCACATTTCCCAGATGGGTAAACAGGGTTAGACAGTCCATAACTTCAGCTAGGCCAGTCTTTGTTTAGTTCTGATTTAGCTATGATGATGTAAAAACTGATTTATCAGGGGTAAGCTGTGCCAATGAATTACAGCCTAGCGACTTGGCCCCAGATACAAAAGTTGAAGCAGCACTTTTATTTCCATCATTTATTTATTTTTTCCAGATTAGAATTTAGGGACTGCTGTTAGCATGGTTACGTGCACTATAGCATTTTTATCAGAAAGCACACCTACCTGTTCATTAATGAGACTTACCTGTGGTATGGGTGATGGAGATGGGCAGGAGAGGAAGCGTGTCCCTCAGGGTCAGTCAAGGTACACACTTTAAATTACCTTCAGAGCTAGTGTAGTTGTCTGCATTTTAGAAGAATTTGATTGATTTGTGGCAATGTCTAGTGTCCTAATTTTATTTTTAATTATAGACTCCTTTTCTACATTATATAGTTTGCATTGGAAAAAATTAAATGATACTGTATTCTATGAGTTTATCACTAGAGCAGTCCTGCTTCATCTTTAAGAGAATTATGGCATACTTGAAGTAGTTTTGCTATCTTAGATATATAGTCAATATTATTTCAAACTAGTTCTCGGATACTTGAACACTTTGGTATATTAATAATGTTCAGATGGTGGTTGTATGAGAGATATTATAGGTTGTAAACACAGTTTTTAATCATGACAAACATTGAAATGGTGGGACAGAAAAATGCTTAAAAATAGTCATCAGGGCTACCAGTTATGTATTTTAACATCGGTTAGAAATGGCATGGGTAAAAGTTTGATGGCTTCTAACACATTTTAGGAGAAGAAATTATTCCGGGAATAACATACTGTTTGACAGAAATAAAATAGTTTTTATCCCAAGTTACTTTATAAGAAATTATTGTTGAAATATAGGAAGGCTCACTGTTATACGACGTACCTGTCACATTCCCTATAAAATGTTTAGAGATTGTTTTTGGTCCCGTGGAGTCTCCTAAAGCTCTATTCAATGAGAAATCTGTGTATTTACTCTTCACACTGTGCTTTAAATAATGCTTGAATTATTCTGGAATGAGTTTGATACAGTTGGAAGGGAAACCACTTGAAAAGGTAAAGTCTTTGATTTTTTAAATTTTTTGAAATTCAGTAGCTTAATCCTTGGTTGTACGAGTTTTTGAATGGTATAACTGTACTTGGAGATCAAGAGATTAACGTTTCCTTGGGTTTTCTTCCCAATGGAATGTTGTGAAGTTTTTTTTCTTTTTTTTGCAGTATGCGGGCCTCTCTGTTGTGGCCTCTCCCTTTGCGGAGCACAGGCTCCAGACGCGCAGGCTCAGCGGCCATGGCTCGCGGGCCCAGCCGCTCCGCGGCATGTGGGATCTTCCCGGACCGGGGCACGAACCTGTGTCCCATTGGCAGGCGGACTCTCAACCACTGCGCCACCAGGGAAGCCCTGAAGTTTTGTTTTAATGAAGTAGTCCTAGCTGTTGAGTTCAAAATGTATATTATGACAAAGTGTTTTAAGAAAAAGGAGTGTCTGTGATTCATTTGGCAGGTTGTTTTGGACGAAGTATGAGAACAAGATAGGATTCTTTCCTTTGTCCTTGAAGTCCTTTATTCCACGGGAATAATCGTCTGAAATTTCAATGATAGTATCCTATGGCACATGATAAACTGGTGTGCAAACTGTCAGCTCCCACTCCAACGGTGTATTGAAGGGGAATGTTGTTTTTTCTACTCTCAGTCAGCTCCTAGACCTAGACTATCCATCTAAGAGGGAAGCTGCAGGGCAAGGCTAGGTCACCCTGGTCTCCTAGCAGCTTATCAAAAGAATTATATGGGCAAGTTGGCAAGGTCCCTGCTGTGAATGGAATCGTCTGTCCATCTCGAGATGAAGATAATCGGCATGCACCTGTAAAGAAAAGCACTGCTGAGGTAAGTGATTGGACTTCGGGTGCTAGTTTGGCCAAGCGCTCATGTCGTAAACCAAGCTATCTGTGCTCTCTTTTCCCACAGATGATTTTCCGTGCACATTTTATTTTAGTGAGGGCATGTCAAATAATTTTCCCTCTCGACGAAAGAGTCTAAAAAGCCATTAGATTTTCAGGTTTAAATCAATAAATAATTATAAGTCTAAAGTGGATGAATTTGTAGTTATTACATTTTAGAACTGTTTAACTTTTTTTTTTTTGTATACAGGTAACTAAGTTACCTAACTTGTTAGGAAGTATAATTTGGTGTAATATAGGAGTATAAGGTATCTGTATCTGGGAAATTTTGTTTTGGAAGTTTTCTTCAAAGGATAAAAATGATTGCTACTTTTCACGTTACTAACAGACATAGAATTTTAATGAGCCCCCCTAAATCAAGTATGAAACCTGGAAGAGAACACAAGAACCATGCTTTCAGGATTAAAATGATAACCACGTAGGAAGTCTCCTTTTGGTAGGTCTCTTATCTTTCTTTTTTTTGTTCATTTTTGTTTTGCTGTTTTTTTTTCCCTTCTCAGGTCCCATTTGTGTGTGGTTGGTGTGGAAAGGTGGAATTTGGATGTTCTTCTTCCACTATTTTTAAACCTAGATTTTATGTATAAATCTATAAATAATGTAGCACTATTTTATAATAAAGTGAAAACTTCTGGTTAGTGTATTACTACAGTCTTCCAGATTATACAGAATGGTATTTTTGTTATATGTCCTTTGCCTATAGAGGTTTGTGGAAACTTGGGGAAGATGCAGCTTTCAGAATCTAGTTAAAGCTGAAGGAGGAAACTGTTCTCTTTATTTTCTTTTTTACACTGGAAGAATTAGTAGCAGTTGTAATTGACTCTAGCCACACGGTAGCTGTCATCCATGCCTCAAATCAGTCATTTGTTCTTCATACGTATACGAGCACATCCGTAAACATTTGCCTGAAAAAGTTTAATCACAGACTTTCGAAAAAATATTATTAGTAGGATTTATATGAATTTGTTTACATGAAATGCTATTTTAAAAATGAGCCATAATTTCAGTATCAGAATACAGAGTGTCTAAGTAAGATCCTCACCTCTACCTCGTCAGAAATACTAAAGCTCATCTCTAAATCCTTTATTAGGAAAGATAATCTATAACCCATTTGTGTATTTAAAAAAATAATGTTACAAGTACAGGCAGTTTGAGAGTTGTTTTGTTTTCTTTGATAACGTGAAGGATTCGTGAATTGTTGGTGAAGGTGAAGCCATGGCTCTAAGTGTAAGGAACAGTACCCAGACGGAACGCTGTCTCTGCTAGACATGCTTCTTATAACTAGTAAATTACTATGTGCTAGGTGTTTTTGTGCCTACATTTAAAAACATTCACCTTTCTACCTGATGTGTCCTTGAAGCTTTACTATTTTGTGTCTAGAAATAGTCCAATCCTTCTACTCTTTTTGGAATGTTGTCTCAGGTTCAGTTAAACTTTAAAATTTGAGTATGCTGGTAAAGGAAATTAATTTGTTAAATGAAAGTGTAAAGACCCATATGCATTTGTTAGAGGTATGTGGTCCATTTGCATTAGTAGAAGTTATTTATAAATTTAGAGGTCTAATTTTTCTCTATAATGATTCTTTGTAATATTCCCTAAGTGGAAGCAGTTATACTTGTTCAGATCTGCATTACAAGGGAAAAGACTTTCTTTCCTAGAATAAGGTGGCTTATTTAAGATCTTCAGAAAGGCCCCTAAAAAGTACCTTTCAGGGGCTTCCGTGGTGGCGCAGTGGTTGGGAGTCCGCCTGCTGATGCGGGGGACGCGGGTTCGTGCCCTGGTCCGGGGGGATCCCACATGCCGCGGAGCGGCGGGGCCCGTGAGCCATGACCACTGGGCCTGCGCGTCCGGAGCCTGTGCTCCGCAACGGGAGAGGCCACAACAGTGAGAGGCCTGCGTACCTCAAAAAAAAAAACAAAAACAAAGTACCTTTCAGTTAGAGGACAGTTGGTTTGGTTTATTCATTAAAGGCAAAAGTGTTTGTTTTGTTTTTTTTTTTACTGTTTGAGTTTTGCCTTTTTTTTAGCACTTGGGGAAAAAATCATGTATTTTGTAATATGAAGCTACAGTTATTTATAGTTATCCAATTTAGTAAAACAAGAACCATCATATTGATATAGAAGGTGCCATGGGCACATATTTTTTCTGTAACTGTTTCTGTGCAGGTTTCTCTTCTAGTCCTGGGGTTCTTGTGATTAACATATTTAGTTTGTCAAGTTTGGGTTCATCTTCAAAGTTGGTAGGTGGAACAGCTGACAAAACAATTGTTTCTTATGTTTCTCTCCTAGTTAGTGTTTTTTGAGGCCCGTAATAGGTGATGGAGATACAATTAAAATTCAGAGGAAGTGTTCAAAGAGATATCAGGAAAACCAGGAGAATATTCCAAAGGGAAGTTTGTGTTAAGGGAAATATTTGAAGCTCCTGTTTACAGGTGATAGAGTTAGAAGGGTAGTTGTTCAGTGTTTTCAGTTTATGCGGCTGTTGAAGTATACACACACACACATACACATATACACACACATACATACATACACATATACACACGCATATAAAGGAAATACTGAGATATTTTACATTTTCATACTGAATATTTGAGATCCTGTGTGATTTTTATCCTTTCAGCACATCTCAGTGTGGATGAGCCACACTTCAGGGGCTCGTATCCACATGTGGCTAGTGGCTACCATCTTGGGTCGTGTGTTTTGATTGTCCTGTCTCACCTTTCAGATCACGGCTTAATCATTTCTCAGGGGGCCTTTCTCTCACTCCCCAGGGCTGTCGGTTTCCTTGCATCCTCAGTCTATTTATGGAGTCATATACCTTTAGAGCATTTATCACACTTGTAAATTAATCTTCAGTTACTGAGATTGTTGTCTCTTCCACTAGATGCAGGCCTGAGTGTTTCCTGTTGTATTTCCAGCCGACACACAACTGGTGCTCCAGAAACAGTATTTGGAATGAATTGTCCTAATCGCTAGTGTCAGGCCACTTGGCTAGAGTCACACATTTGATTTTAGAATCAGACACTAAACTCCCTCTAATTCATTTTGCTGGGATGAGAGTATATAAAAATATCACGAACATGAGAAGTGGTTTTAATTGTAAGTTGTTTACTTGTAATGGTGTTTTGCTAGATAATAGTTCTGTGAGCTTTCAAGTATTTTTAACTAGTAGGAAACTTTTAAACTATAAGCATATTTTTAAGTTGATTTAACAGACTTAATGGTAAAAGAGGTTTAATAATTCAGATTTTTAAATTTAAATTCCCTGCTCACGTTCGTCCTGAAAATTTTAAGACTGGCTTAAATTATTATAAAATTAAGTTATTTAAAATGAAATTTTATAAGAATGGGATTTTTAGATTGAAAATACTGGTCTTTTTTCTTTTTAAAGGATGCTTATTTTGAGTTTGATGAGATGATTAAACCACGTGATCCACATTATTTAGTTATTTGAAAGCCAGATTATAGACAAGCCTAGGTTGTGTTGAGTATAAGAGAGGAATTAAACATTGTCCGTTACATAGGTAAGTTCACACTTTTGTGTGTATTATGCAAGTAGAAAGAATGAGACCCGATTAAGGAGTTGGGTAAGATTTCATTGTGTATCTCGTATCTGAGCTGTGTCTCCAAGTGATGCTAGGCGTTTATCAAGAAGAGAGGGAGGGGCCTTTCAGTCAAAGGAACAGCACAGACACAGATACAGGAGACACTTTGTAATATTTCCTCTAAGTGATGAGAAGCCAACAATTCAACCTGTGGCTGCAGTGCAGTGTGTGTGGGGTGGGGGCAGAGCCAGGGAGTGAGTCTGGAAGTGGGGACATCCAGGTAGAACCGTAAGGAGCCCCACATGGCCCTCTAAGGGGCGTGGACCTGTGCTGAGCAGCTGTGCGGGAAGCGGTGGAGGGAGGGGAGAGCCAGAAGGTGTGAGCACCGGGGCGCGGGTGCCGCAGAAGGAGCGGTGGCGCGGGTTGGCCCTGTGTGGAGCCCCGTGTGGAGAGGAGGGTGCAGGCTCTACACTGACCCTCATGCCCCCAGCCCCTCCACCAAGGGGACAGGAAGTTGAGGACGGCACCATGCTGCGAAACTCTTCTTTAGATATCGATGACCATAGTGTGTCTGTACTTTAGTGAATTTTAATGGGAACTTACTGCGTAATAAGTCTGTTAATTACCAAAGGACAGGATACGTTTTACAAAATAAAAGTGATTATGATTCAGAGTCATTTTTCACTGCATGCCGAAACTTTTAATGTAAATTATTTCATCCTCAAATGATAGCCTGATTTTGCTGTGTGGTCAAATTAACGTCAATCAACTTAAAAGTGAAAGGATATTTCATGAATTAATTTAAAAATATTACCGTATGTGTTTTATTAGTGAATTAGGCTTTTAATTATGTATTTTAGAGACCGTTTTCAGATTTGCCAGAACTTAAGGAATAAAGTAGAGTCTAAATAGGATAGTTTGTAAAAGCATAACTCTGTATACAACGAAGCAACACTGTAACCAGGAACAGGCGGCCTGGATAAGATGCCTTTGCTTTGAAACCATCCATCTCTCTTCTTTTGTTGTGTAGGGAGATCGTGGGGGCCAAAAAACACTTCATTCTGCTCTCTTTTCCAACCCTGTAACATAGTTCTGCCAAAATGTATTAGGAAAATCTCCCTACTCTTTAGTGGTTGCAAGAGCATAGGGTAAGGGCACCGGTGTCTTCCTGACAAGCTTTGCCACTGTTAGCTGCAGCAAGGTGCCCGCAGTGGAGACTGCACAAGCCCTTCCATGTCCACTGGCCCCTGGCTTCTTTTGGAAAGAGCGGGGGGAGTGAAGCCTTTTCTCTCTTGTTTGACCTTTGGGATTCTCATCCTTATCGTATGTCCTTTGTGGGCATCGCAAGGTTGGTGTTGTGATGGCTTTTTCACTATATTCACCTTTTAAGCCTTAAGTAAGGTTTCAGTGTGGCAAAAAAAAAGGTTAATGTTTTGAAAAAATGTACACTGCATCACTGATAATAAAACAATATATTTGATCAGTGTTAAACTTCATAAATCTGATATTTCAGTCAAACTTTATAATATTTTATCCTTATAATTAATTTGGTAACTTCACTATTTCAAGAAGCTAGACTCTGTTAATTTGTTTAGATCTGATCTTTTGCTTAATGAGGTAAAATGCCGTCTGTTTTCCGTATAGATTCGAGTTCTGTGAGCCTGCATTTGTGGTTGGTAATTGTCTGCAGATAGCGTCAGACAGCCACCAGTATGACCGGGTCTACTGCGGGGCTGGAGTCCAGAAGGACCACGAACACTACATGAAGATACTGCTGAAAGTCGGGGGCATCCTGGTCATGCCTGTAGAAGACCAGGTAGCTTCCACTGTCCTTTCACTTGACGTAGGAGACGCACTTAGCGTAAGACGGGAAGCGTTACCTCAGTGAAAGGTACACTGTAAGTGTTAAGGAAGAAATAATTACTCTTCACAGATCTGTCTATAGAGGAGAACATTGAAGCGGGCTCTTGACTATTAACCAAGGCAGGTGCGGAAAAGACCCGTTAACTAGGGTTAGGAGAGCCGCGCTGAGCTGCTCCCTGGTCCGGGTGAGGGGAGCGAGTGCCACTGAATGTGGTAACTGCTTCTAGCTGAACATATGAAAAGGAAATCCTGTTTGCGGTTTGGTTTGAACTGCTTAACTCCATTCCAGAAATGAGTAAATTTTTGGATCTTCTCTTAGTATACGTAGGCGCATTTGAAAGTATTTTTCACCTATTGTCTGCCTTTGGTTTGGAATTATTAGGTATAATAAGTGTATGAAATGCTAATTTATTCAGAAAATGGGAGGCTCTTTTACTTTGAAATTTTATAAATATACATTGCAAAAAATATCTTTTATATTCATATTAACCTACATCTGAGATGATTAAAACACCTTGTGGTTTGTAAGTAGAAGATCGATTGTCCAAGATGACTGGGGCATAGTGTGGTCGTTTTGGAGTTTGTATATCTGAGGGTCCCCTAAGTTCACACATGTGATTTGCAGGTCAGAGGATTTCACCATCACCATGTACTGTGTTTGTCAGTTATTAGAAAGAATATAAAGCATTCATTAAAACACATTCTTGGAAAAATGTTACTTGAATGCTTCCGGAGTGTTGAGACTCCCAGATTAATCGTCTTTTTCTGTTTTCCTTTAAAGAGACGTTTTTAAACATACAAAATATGGTTTCCCATTGGTATTTTGTTGAATATTTATTATATACTATTGTACTAGTGTAAAATGTAATAGGCTGATTGCTGTAATATAGATTGAAGATGCTAATTCACCTTCCTTCAGTCATGAACTGAGCTAATATTTTTTCTCTAGAACTGATGGTGGGTATTTGCTGACTGGGTAAAACTTCTAATCCCCTTGTGACTAATTACATATATCTGTGAAATGTCAAGTTGGGATTAGAATTAGAATCTGTATTTTATAACCACCATGGAAGATCATGAAGTTCATTCGTTGGTACAGTAATGAAAACGTCTTTTTACTAATACAACACTTTAACCAAACAACTGAACCTGTGTGAGACGTGTGTTTTGGGGGCCAGTGGCAGGTGTGGGTTGGAAGAGTACCCCTAGAAGCCCTCAGACCCCAGATACAACCTGCAAAGTCATGCCTTTTGCACTCAAGTGTCTGTCTTGAACAGCAAGTATTTGTGATTCCTCCTGTATCATTTTATGGTAAATATTTAAACGAAAGTAATTTGCTTGTATTCAGATACAAGTGATTATATAGCAATCACTGCTGTTATTCTGTTAAAACAAAATTGTGACTGTAAGGTGATCACACTTCCAAGATAAAGCCGTTCTATTTCTTTTCTCCCTCTAAATAGTTAACACAAATTATGCGAACTGGACAAAACACTTGGGAAAGTAAAAACATCCTTGCTGTGTCATTTGCCCCACTCGTGCAGCCGAGCAAGAACGACAGTGGCAAACCGGACTCTGTGGGCCTCCGTAAGTAACCGCCGGGCCTTTCTGCCTGGACCGTGGCTTGTGTTGTTCAGCAGCTGTGCTCGGGATTAGTGGACTGTGTTAATTATGAAGAGTTAAGTAAATAATGCAGTAATACATTCCATGGATTTGTTTTTTTTTCTTTTCGATGAAGCTCCTACCTTGCGCCAGACCCTGTTAGCTGCCTTCACGGAGGCATGAAAAGGGGCAGGTCAATGAAGAGATGAGTTTGTTACTTACAGTTGTGAAATGATTAATTACGGTAAATTTGTTGGCACCATTTTCCATACAGAGGGACAGCAGACACAAAAGCCTTTCTTTAGGCTGAAAAGAGCTTGCTCGTTCCAAGACCAGCAGTAACTTTCAGGGTCGCTGAGGCTCCTCGGCTGGGCTGCAGAGGACAGCTGATGGAGACTTGCCTTGTCCTCAAGGAGAGAGTCAGTGTTGATCGGGGTGGAGTTGTTTGAAGGTAGGAAAATGGTGGAGGAAAAAGAGGGCTCCAAAGTTTTACCCTGAGCCCCTCACTGAGTGATGGTACCATTTATTGCTGTTTAGGACTGAGGGTGAATAGTTTGGAAATCGGTGTAGGAAGATCAGAGACCTTTATTTTGGCTGGGCTTGAGTTTCCCATTAGGTAGGCATGTGGGTGTCACCCCGCTGCACGAGCTAGGAGGATGGGTGAGGAGGCGCTGGGACTGGGCCTGTGATCCACCAGCTCAGAGCTGGACCACGAGCAGAGGCAGGGCCGAGAAGTGGGGGGACAGCAGTGTGCGGTGTGCAAGACCGGACTTTGGAGAAGGCGGGAGCGCTGAGCTCCCTGAGGGCTGCCGAGACCCTGAGGAGGAGCGGTGAGCGCGGCCGTGGTTGGCCCAGCGTGTATCATGGCTTTGGAGACCAATAAGTAAAGTTCTTTGCCAAAAATGAGCTTTAGAACTTTACCGTAGTAGACTTCTTCGTTTAATTTGCTTTCTAAATGAATTTATTTCATAGGAACCTGGGAGAGATTTAATTTTATTTTCAGGGTTATTTTACCCTCTTGCAACCCATGTGGTTTTGTGGTCTTTTGGGGTGTTTTTTTTAAATTTAATTTTATTTATTTTATTTATTTACTTCTGGCTGCGTTGGGTCTTCGTTGCTGCGCGCGGGCTTTCTCGAGTTGTGTTGAGCGGGGGCTACTCTTCCATGCGGTGTGCGGGCTTCTCATTGCGGTGGCTTCTCTTTGTTGCAGAGCACGGGCTCTAGGTGCGTGGGCGTTAGTAGTTGTAGCATGTGGGCTTAGTAGTTGTGGCATGCAGGCTCTAGAGCACAGGCTCAGTAGTTGCAGGCACGGGCTTAGTTGTTCTGCGGCATGTGGGATCTTCCCGGACTAGGGCTTGAACCCATGACCCCTGCATTGGCAGGAGGATTCTTAACCACTGTGCCACCAGGGAAGCCCTGGGGTGGTTTTGAGAATTAAATGAAGTAGTGTTTATAAAGTGCTTAGCAGGTAATAATGGCTTAGTAAAGAATAGTGTTGGGATTTTGGGAAGGTCAGTAAATTACACCTGTTACCCCTGCTCAAGTTCTTAACAGTGGAGAGGTGGACTTGGGGACTAGGTAGCTAGGAATTGAAATGCAATAGGATGTGTGGAGAATAAGAACACGTTTGCTTTTCTGTTAAAATAAGTTAAAATAGGTTTCTGTGTAGAGAACATTATATCATTAATTATAGGGAATAAAAATGTGAAAGAATGTTAGCACAAAAAAACTCTAAAAAATACACGTGCAAATCCTTTGCCAAACGTATTTTGTAGCTATGAAATTGCTCATATCAGCAGTTACTAAAATATATTTATAACTTTTCCTCAGGTTCATCACAAATTTTTATTCAACTTAAAGTCATATTTCTTTTTCTTTCTTTGGTATAAGACATTATAAAAATAAATTTCACAGCAGGCCCTTTAGAAGGGGTGAAGGAAAAACTCTACACCAACTAAAGGAAAACTCTGTTTCCTTTATACACCACCTGCCGAATCCTCCTGTCGTGCAGACCTGTGGGTTCTCCTCCTTGAGCAATCCTGCAGTCCTCTGCGGACCCCAGCGAGCTAGACTGTGGTCTGGTGCAGTTGTGGTGCTCGCCGGTGCTAGCATAGACCCCGCAGGCTGCAGGCTCTGTCCTCCTCCAGCTTCTCACAGGCTGCTTGTGAATCAGGCCCCCATGACCCCTCCTAGAGTTCGATAATTTGCTGGAGCGGCTCCCAGAATGCAGGAGAACAGATTACTCATTAGATTAACTGGGGAACAGCCGGATGGGAGTGATGCCCAGGGCGGGGTGTGTGGGTGGATGCGGACGTCCACGCCCTCTCTGCGCGCACCACCCTCCCAGCGCCTCCAGCTGTTCACCAGCCCAGAAGCTCCCCGAGCCTTTCTATTAGGGGCTTCTGTGGAGGTTCGATTGATTAAATCAACTCTCGGTGATTAACTCAACCTCTAGCCCCTTTCCCGTCTCTGGAGGGGTAGCCTGAAAGTTCCATTTCTCTAATCCCATGGTTGGTGTGCCCGACAGCCAGCCTAGCACCTTGAAGGGCTTAGTGAAAGTCACCCCGTAACATCAAGTCACGTGTGGTTGAAGGGAGCCTCTCATGAACACTAAAAAGCACTGCTTTTCACTTTGATGCTCTCATCACTTAGGAAATTCCACGTGTTTTAGGAGCTCTGTGTCAGGAAGGGGAAGCCAAATGTGCATTTCTTCTTATAAATCTCAGTATCACAGAGGTCAGGAGATTTCATGAACTGTTGAACTGCACCACACTGAGCCATACGAAGTTGCGGTTTTGTAGGTTAAAAATGGGGTTTGACCTAAGTCCAGTGCCCTTTTCAGTCTTACTTAACAAATAAAAATGAAAGTGCTGACTGCTAGGTTCCTATAAAATCTACATAGAGACCACCTTTTGGGAAACAAATAGAGCTGACGTGTGTGTCAGAGATAACCTTCATTGTAGTTTTGGCCTGAAAGCTTCAATTCACAGTAAAATTTTATAGCAGTCAGGACTAGTGTTGTCTGTCTGGTCCATTGAATCCTTCTCGTGACTAGAAGCATTAGGAACAAGGAGGGTTGCAGTACAGAAAATACTGGGATTTTGGAATAAGTAGGGCTGAGAATTGTCTAAAAGTGTTCGTATTATCAGAAAAACGTTTAAATGAGGCTCTTGTGGGTGCTACTTCAGGACCTGTGAGTGTTAGAAGCGACTGAATGGAGCCAGGTCTGAATCCTTTCCCAGTCCGGGTCCGGTCGGTGCTTCTGCAGTCGGGCTGTCCCGGCAGTCGTCGTGGTGATCGTGTCCCTGGAGGAGCAGGCAGTGCTGGCAGAGGAGGAGGACAGTGGACGTGTTGGGAGAGCGCCCGGGGTGTGGGCGGGTCACACCCACAGGGACGCCCGAGAAGTCCAAGTACTCCTTCTCTTCTTTGTAGCTTCTGAAGCTCTATCCCCGCTTGTTCTCTACCCCGCTTCCTGCAGTGGTCCCTTGACCTCCGGCCTCCCTCCCGCCGGCGCCCCCCGCGGGGGCCGTCCTGGCCTTTGGGGCTGATGACCCCATGACTCCCGTCTGCAGCCGGGCCTTGCCCCCAGCCCGGCGCTGGAGGGACTGCCGCGGCCGGAAAGGGCCGGCACGTCGCGTGGCCTCTGGGCCCCGAGCACCTTGCCGGCCCCTCCCCGCTTGCCTCGCCCGGCACTGACTGGCTGCCCCATGTGAAAGGCCCACGGGGTGGCGGCAGCGCCCAGACCTCCATTTAGGACACAGCGCGAGCAAAGCAAATCTTTATCTTCTCCTCCCCGAACTGTGCTTTCTCTTGGTCACGTGGGTAATCAGCGTTACATCTGCCTCGCCGCTCGGACCAAAGACTCCGCGTCCAGTCCCCATCCGTCCTGTCTTCACAGCAGAACTCAGGCTTGTCCCCTCTCTCCGCCCCAGCGTGGTCCTGTCTCATGCCGGCCCCTGGCACGCCCGCTCCTTCCCTTGCCAGCCGCCACCCCACAGAGGGGCCGGGCCGGGCCGTGCTCTTCCATTTTGGGTTTCAGTAGAGAGTCTGAAGAAAAGGTTTTGTAGCAGGCCAGGAAGTATGTGCTAAGGGATCTTGGAATTGGTCTAAAATGCCTCCTGCCTGGAGTTTTATGAAAGACCACATCTCCCGCTGCACGATGTGCCCAGCTTGTGACTGGGCAGAGCCCCGGGCACTGGGGCAGGAGGGAAGCACCCAGGACAGGATGTGTACCCTCAGGCCCTTTGTGGGGGGGTGAGGAAGGGCCCCAGGCCTCTTTCCTACCCCCCGCCCCCAAGGGCTCACAGCTGAGGGCAAAGAGCGGCCACATACACATTCGGTTAAGTGACATGATCACAGGAAGGTTGGGAAGGAGGTAGCTAAGAACAAGTACCAAAAGTAAGGGGAGAAGTGATGAAGGCTTTCTTGTGCTGTTGAACTGAGGAGGGCTGTGTTTTGTTTTGTTAGGTATTTGAGAAGAATCCTTGATAAGGGTTTTATTACCACAGGGGTGGAAACTAGGAAGAACGGATTTCAGGTGGGGACCTGAGAATTTTCTTTGTCTGGGTGCAATGCACTGGAGGAGGCCACCAAGAGGGGCGTGTGGCGCTAGGTCTTAACACCTGCGCGCCGGTGGGAAGCAGGAGTGAAGCAGACAGGGCCTGTTCCGACTCTCCCCGTGGGCTAGATAGAAGCGAGCGTCAGCAGCTTAGGTCTGTGGTGTTTCGGGGCTGCTAAAGTGTGCGCCATGATTTCTGGGGGCCCTTTACCTGTGAACCAGTTCTGCCTGTTGATTTACAGAAAGATGGAAACTGCGTGTGCATGCGTGTAACAGTCTAGAGCTCAGACTGAGGCAGCTGTTCAAACAGTGCCTTCATTTGAGGTTTTGAAACAGGTCCTTCACATACTTTTCAACATCAGAAAGTACAGAAGATGTGTAGGGTAAAAGCTCTTCTCTTCTTGTCCCCTAACTGCTTAATTCACGTGCGCTCCAGCCGTTGTAAGTTATTTATCCTCCCCGAGAGGGTTCATGCTCATACCTGGGGATGCGCACATGTCTGTACACACTGTAGACTCCGGTGCCGTCCGCTGTCCTCAGTACTGCAGTGGTCTGGCACATAGTAGGCGCGCTTCCTAAAATCTGTGTTAGATGAACGTCAGTTTTTTGTGTCCTGTCTCCTAATACTCACTAAGAAGTGAACAGTACGTAACGTTTCACTTTTTATGTTTCCCGTGTGTCTTTAGCCCCCTGTGCTGTCAGGAATCTGCAGGACTTGGCTCGTATTTACATTCGACGCACACTTAGAAATTTCATCAATGATGAGATGCAGGCCAAGGGCGTTCCTCAGAGGGCTCCGCCCAAAAGGAAAAGGAAGAGGGTCAAGCAGAGGATTAACACTTACGTCTTTGTGGGGAATCAGCTCATCCCTCAGCCTCTGGACAGCGAGGAGGAGGAGAAGATGGAAGAGGATAACGCGGGGGAGGAGACGGGCCGCGGCGCCGCCCGCGAGCAGGAGACGCCGCCCCAGAACTTGCTGAGGGAGAAGATCATGAGGCTCCCCCTGCCCGAGGCTCTAAAAGCGTACTTGACGTACTTTAGGGAGAAGTAACTTAGAGCGAGAAGGAAGAACGCCTACTGATAACTCCTTTAGTCTTGAAAATGTAGCATTGTTAGATGTTAAAAGAGAATTCTTTCTTTCATCAGAGTGAATTTTTAGTGGAAAAAGTATAACTTGTTTCTGTCTTGGTAATAAAAATGATGTATTCTGTGATTAAAAAGAATCCCTTTTATAAAATATATTTTTCTTTAAATCTTGTTAAAATTGCTGTTTTAACTTGGAGCGACTTCAAGAGTGGAATGTAACAGTAGTCAAGACTGGGTCCTTCAGACCCTCATCTGGTTCCTTACAGACTAGTAGTGGTGAGGGTTAGATTTAATCTTCCATAAGGGGAAATAATCAGGAAGCATATATGTAGTCTGATTCCAATTGCAGCCATTTGCATTTCCTCCGTGAAACCTTTATCTAACAAGGAAATCAGAAGCTTTGTGTGTTGCAGTCACTATTGCTGAGTTGCTGTAGGTCTGTTCCGGGCAATGTATGAGTGCAATAACGATGCAGATACGGAGTAACGTAGCTTTAAAAAGCCTCCTTTCAGGGAGTTCAACAGCACTGCTACTCTTGCTCTTGAATCTGTTGCCAAAAGACATGGGGAAAACATCTGCTTCTCTCATAGAGATTTTAGGAGCATGTCAAGTGAATATTAAAGTAAAACGTATATACTTAATACAACTCTTAGTTTGGGTGGACCCTTTACATTTTCAGTATTTAAAAATGATGAGGTTATCTTACTCTGAAGTTTTAGAAGATAGTATATTTAGGACGGTTTTCCCTGTAGTCCACTGTATAAAGTATTTGCTTTAAGAGAGTCCGTTGTTCTACGCGACTGTTGATGGCTCATCGGTGAATCGGCCTGAGTGGGCTGGTCACAGGTGCACTTTAGCAAAGGAAACTCCTGGTTCATTGGCAGGTTCATCCTTGACAAGCAGGGCTGCGCCAGCCTGCATTTGCTTTGAAATTCATCTTTGTAGCATAGGAAGTAGTCACAGAAATTATATGTAGGTGACCTTTTCTTTGAAAATTCGGAATCATGGTGTAATCTTTGGGACCTACACTGGGCTCATTTAATTTCTTCCCATGTTTTTATTTTGTTCTTGTTTCTTGTGGTAAAGTAACAGTGATTTTCATTTTTTTGATTAATATCCCATACTACTGTATTCATTATTTGAATGTCAGTAGTGAAACAGGTGGTAAATGCCGTTATTAGTGTTTCTTTTCTTCCTACTAGGGCATGAAGAGTCATGCCTTGTTTAAGAAAGTATACAGTGTAGCATATTTACTATTTAGTGTTCCATGGATTATATATTTTTTAGAAGGGAAAATTTGAGAGTATCACTTATCACCACCAGCATCACTGTTACAACTGTTGAACAAGTATGCTTGAGGAAACGCAATCGATGTGTAGTGGAAGGATTATTATGTCTCTGCAAAGATTCAACCGTTAGATGAATGGTTTAAAAAAAATCTCAGCTCTGGTAATTCCACACATGTAAAAACAACTGTTTGAAATAGTCTAAGCATGAATCATCCCAGGTAAATCAGGATATTTTAGTAATGTGAAAGATAATTTCGTGGAAGCTGTTCGTTTTTTACCATTGACTGGGCTTGGGGGTATCTCCACAATTTTTCTTAGGCGATGACTAAGCTGTTATTGTTAAGAAATGCCCCATTCATTTCTATCAAGGAAAAAAAAATAGTTTCATGCTATTGTCACGTTAGAAATGTTCCTTTTATTTTGAAATCAGTGTCCATTTTAGAAGTTTAATTTGGGGCTCCTGGTGCCCACATATTTTTTATCTAGCCGCCCCCCCCACCAGCTTTGTTGTTTTCGGGGCAAGTGTTCAGATAACGTCAACACGACGTTTTCTTAAATCGTGGTGTTAACTATTCATGAGGGACGTTTCTGTTTAGGATATATTTGAAGATGGAGTTTTTCATAGCAGCTTTTATTCTGTTGGCTTTGGCAAAATGTACAGTAGGTTTTCATAATCATTGCCTATTTTTTGTCATTGAAATGTATCTTTTGTGTTTTTAAATGCATTTATTTCACAGTTGTGTCTTTACTATTGACTTTAAATAAAGAAGTAGAAATAAAGAATGAAATTTTAAGCGAAAGCCCTTTTATCTATTAATGGGAATATATTAGAATGATTAAGAATATTTTGGGTGTTTATTTTTTAATGAATCATGTTATATTTGAGTGTGGATAATTGTGTTTTATAGGTGGAGAGGTAGCAAATAAAGATGAAGTAATTCAAAATGATGAGCAGTGTATTCATGGGAATTTACAGTGGGGTAATTATTTGTTTTGCGGAGAGAAAGTAGGCCTAGGGAGGGAGCACGACGACTTCCCCCCCTCAGTCAGATTGCTGCTTGGAGATGGCTTGAAATAGCACCCAGGATCTGATAGAGCCCGAGAAACTGCCGGCAACACCATTAACTACCAGGAACATCGTTTAAATCTGTACTGCTTATTGGTCCATATATCTGGTTCTAGTACTAATAAAGAAAAACGTCATTAAGATAGCACACATAGTAGTTAAAATACAAAATGTGGAAGTGTTGGTTTCCAGCTGTTTGAGAGGACAAAAGTGAAGCAAAACCTGTTAATTTATGGGAAAACTTGGAAAATTATTTTAAATAAACAGTTGCATATAACTAAGCATCGTTCTCCAGTGGCCTGCCTTTTTTCTCTTTCTAAATTTAGAAAATGTCAGTACACCTATGGATATATGCTGAATTATGGTATAGAATTGTCTGTATTTGGACATCTCATTTCCTTTTGACTGTTGCCACCGCTGAAGGGTGTAGGGTTTTAAAAAATTTATTTTTATGGGGCTTCCCTGGTGGCGCAGTGGTTGAGAGTCCGCCTGCCGATGCAGGGCACGCGGGTTCGTGCCCCGGTCCGGGAAGATCCCACATGCCGCGGAGCGGCTGGGCCCCTGAGCCATGGCCGCTGAGCCTGCGCGTCCGGAGCCTGTGCTCCGCAACGGGAGAGGCCACAGCAGTGAGAGGCCCGCGTACCGCAAAAAATAAAACAACAACAACAAAAAATGTATTTTTATGAACTATTCAAGTAGATACGAAGGATATTTATAAGATGCTTGGAAAGTCCAAGGAATGAGTGTTCATGTCCGTACATGTGAGTACGAACCATGAGGCTTGACTGACAGCACTACCGTTCCTGTGTGTGCCCCTCTTCCCCGCTCATCCTAGCCCCCCTCTCAGGGTGCCCGTTTGTGACGGTCACACCTGGCTTTTTGCCGCGGTTTTACACATACGCTCGTATCTCCAGGCGGTATGAGTGGAATCACCCCTGTTCATTCCTGTGCACCTAGTTTTCACTGCACGTTGTCTTTCTGAGGCTGGTCCCTGTTGTCTGTGGTGATGCTAGATTCCCACATTCCCACTTTTTTGTTCATTATTTCTTCTTGACTCTTGGATCATCTCAATTTTCTTTTGCCTAAAGTACATCTTTTGAAATTTCTTTTGGTGAAAGACCCTGCGGTAGCTAGCTCTTAGTTTTGTCTGAAAAAAATTTATCTTTGTTCTTGAAAAATATTACTAATATAATTTTAGGATGACAGTGTTTTTCTCTAAAACAATGGAGTTCTCTACATTCTGGCTTTCATTGTAGCTGTTGAGAAGTTCACTGATAGCCATTTCTTTGAAGGTTATCTTTTATCTCTGTTTTTACAGTTTTGTCCTGACATTGTTAATACTCTTGTCTTGGCATTGTTGATTTTCTGTAGTTTCATATAATGTGCTAGGTGTTAATTTTTATCTTTAATCCTACCTGGTATTTGTTTTATAGGTGTGTGGACTGGCCTCTTTGATCAGCTCTGGAAATTCTTGGCCATTTTCTTTTCTTACAGACATTGCCTCAACTTTTTGCCTCTCAGCATTGGATTCTAAATAATTCATTCAAATATATCTTCCAACCACTAATTGTCTTCACTTGCTTTAAGTCTGCTGTTAAACCCTTACACTGAGTTTTAATGTCTGTTAAATTTTCTAGTTCTTAAAAAATTTTTTTTAAAATAATTTCCTGCTCTTTATTAATACGTTCAATTCGGTAAGCACACTGAACCTGTTTTCTATTCCATATCTGATTCCAGTATCTGAACTCTGTGGCGGGCTTCTGCTCAGGATGTCTCTGAGGGCTAGCTGTGACGACCCCGTTTCTCTTGTGCTTTGCGGGCTTTGACTGAGCTTGTGGAACTCTATCTGTGAGGGTTTATTGGAGGCCAACTGGTCTTTGCCAGAAGCGCTGCTGGCTCACGGCCTCTTTAAACTAAGTCCTGGGTTTAAGGGTTTCACACCACTCAGGGAGAGGGGCCTGAACATCCACGGGAAAGCTAACCTGGGACGTTACATCTTCGGGGAGAGTTTACTCCCTCCTCATAGCAAGTTTTGAAATAGGCAGTGTTCTCTGCGTTCTCTGGGGGAAGGCGGGGACAAGGTGGATTATTTCTCGTTCTCCTTAATGAACTTTCTGCGGACGTGGAGATTCCAATGAAGCCCTCCCCATTTAGGAAAGGGCTTTTCCGCTTCTTCCTGTAAGCTTGCTGCCCCAAATCTGAAGTTAATGTCGCTAAGTTAAGCGGATACTCCAGCTGAGTGAGACTCCAGTGTTCGCGTACCTTGCTGGCTTCCCTTTTCACTTTGTTTTTGGACACTTGTCTATGTCTTACTAACTTGCTCACTCAGCACACTGATGCCTTTTAAAAAAATGTTTCTAATGCTTTATCTAGCGCACACAGTTTTCTGCTGGAGTTTCCTAAGGCCTGCAAGGAAAGGTCCCACAGCCACGATGCGGCTGGCATTCATGTGCTCCTCTGGGCCTTGCAGTTCTTAGCCTTACACTCATGGAAGGTAACAGTAGGGTGTTTTTTTTCCATTGACTGTCAGGTTTTTAAAAGTAGAAAGTTTTTAGTCTTTCCTTCCAGAAAAATGCCCTGCGAATACAATGTAGTATTTATTATATTGAATATTTTGAACTGAAAACGACACAAACCCGCATGTCTTGTCCAAGTTCTCCAAATTGCAAACATCACCAAGAGCATCGGAATTGTTAGCGGTGGGCCTGAAAGGACGAAGCTGGCTTTTTCGTTTATTGATATAGACAATAAGAGACACACGAACGATGTCAAGCATAGTTCAAGTTTATTTTGAAATCATTCTTGTTCATGGAGATTGAGTTTTTTCTTCTGATTTTTGTATTAAAAAAACCCCCAAACCCCACATACTTAAAAGTTGGAACATTCTGCCAATAGAGGGCAGTGTTCACCTACAGTAGAATGTAAAGGAACGAAGAATTGCTGAGAGGAGGAGAATGAATCTGTTTCTTCTTTATACTCATAAGGTTGATAAAATTTGACAAAACGTTCTCCACTCACTACCTCTGTCTCGCAGCGTGGTCATCTGGAGTTGCTGCCGAAGTTAACCATCCAAGTTTCACTTTATTTTTCTGTTTTGCATTTTTTAAAGTCCTATTTTAGGGATGAGATTTGTTTGAAAGTTTCAGTCTTTAAAGATAAAACCAAAACCTTGAATACCTGCTTACAGAGTGCCCAAAAAGTACACGTTGAACTGCAAGACATACTTGTGGCAGAAGCCTTCTGTTTCCAGCGGTGTCGCCGGGAGAGGGCCGCCCGCCGCCGGGCACCTAGAGGGTGAGAGGCGGGTCTGCAGCCGCCGGGGCGGCGGGTCCTGGAGGCTCATCGGTGCCACTTCACGTGCTCACACGCGTGACCGTGGGTGCGTCTGCTCCAGGGCCGGGCGTGGGCGCTAAACAGTGTTAAAGGAAGAAACCAGAAGCAGCTGGTGGGAATCTCTTATTAGTGCAGCGATTTGGGTTTCAGGAATGGAATAATACAGTTCGGAGTAGGGAGTATGTGCCCCCGGGTGAGCCAATTATTACTGCGCTCGCCCTTCAGGGTTTGGAAGTGTTACCGGATAAAAAGAAGAAAAGCTGTCCTGCGTGGATGCAATAGATAATGAACCAACGTGAGCTGCCGAAGCCCGGTCGGGGGCTGAGAGGCTGGGCTCACGGAAACAGTGGAGCGACGCGCCAAGAGGAGGTGCCTTTGCCGGGCGGCTTTGGCGCTGACGGGCCCTCTTCCCCGCGGCGCACCCCGCCCCGCCTCCTGGCCCGCCCCGCTTCCTGGCCCAGCCCCGCACTCCCCCCCCCCCCCCGCGGCGTGCGCCCCCGCCCCGCCGCGCCTCTGTACCCCCAGGTCCCGCCCCCGCTCGGGTCGTCGGAGCAGGGTCGTCACTTTTCCGCAACCCCAGGCTTCGGCGCTTAGACTGGAAAGGGCGAGCCCTGAAGCGGTGAAAGGAACGGGTCTCCTAGCATCTTCCAGAACTTACCACAGAGAATTCCCATCTTCATTCGTTGGGTAATTTGCCTGCATAGAGTCCCAGTTTAACCCCTTTATCGTCGCCCCCCACCCCCAAATCTTCCCTACTCTGAATTGGGTGAAGCAGCCGCCCACGCCGCGTGCCCCCGCTCCCGGCTGGGCCTCCCCGCGCCCTGCGGTGGGCGTTGCTCCCGGGTACCCAGAGCAGCCGGGAGCGCGGGGCGGGGGCCCGGGCGAGCAGGCAGGTCGGCGCCCGGGAGACCACGCCGGAGTGGGCGGGCAGATGGGCCTGGGTGCTCACCCGCCGTCCTCGCCTTCTGTGTGGGGAGAGAAACCGCATCACTGAGCTGCCCTTCGGGTCGCACAGTGTGTGAGTGTTCACCCTTCCCATCGTGGTGCTCAGGCTTTACGCCCCAAGAGGAGAAGAGGAGAAGTGCCTCTAGGACGAGGCGGTTGGAAGGGCCCAGCGTCCCCGGTAAAGTGTCTGCCGGTCGTGGCGGGTGCGCGCGGGAGGGAGCCGCCTGCCCCGTTCGGGTGCATCCCTGGGCGGGTGAGTCTCACTCTCCCCGAGTGAGACTCCGGGGATTTTGAGCAAGAGGGAGGCCGAGCAGCGCCGGGCCGCTTTTCGTCCTAATCGTGCAATGAGGACCTAGCTGGGTAATGAGAGTTCAAGCTGGTGGTTGGTCGTTGCACATAAGCCCACATATATTCGGCCCAGAGTAATTTTTGTTAAGCATCTTAATTTTATGTGCTCGTGAATACGAAAAACAGCCTTGCTGTAAAAACCCACAAGACGCATTCTTGAGCCCGGGGCCTTTTCTCGTTTGGTGGCCAGAGGGCAGGGTGAGCGGGGCCTTTGGCCTTGAACCTTGCCTGTGTCGTGTTGCGGCGTCAGTTTCTGCAGAAGCCCCAGCGCCAGGCACAGGGCGGCCTGTCCGTCAGGTGCCAAGGTCGGCGGTCGGCCCGTGCCGGACACCCTCTCCTGGAGGCCCTGAGCGGAAGGGAGAGGGCGTTGTCCTTGCAGCTGTGCAGAGCCTTCCTCGGCTGGAGAATGACGCCCAGTGGCTGGACCCTCAGGACCCCAGCCGGGCCCCCTGCGAGTTCCCAGCTTCCTGGGGTCTCGGTTTCTTAGTCTGTAAAATGGGGATGCTAGCGGTTTTCGCCCCCTGGCGTTATTCTCAGGTGACATGAGCTCGTGCGCGTTACACGCTTAGGAGAGGATCTGGTTCTGCCCAGCTGTATGGAAGGGTTTGCAGTGACTACTGTTTACGGCTCAGGGCATGAACTTTGGACTCATATAC